ATAATATTTGATATATATATATATATATATATATATATATATATATATATATATATATATAATAGATTAACCACTGCTTGATTTTATAAAAATAACGATTTTTTTTTAATGACAAATAAGCCTAAAAATAGGGCCAATTTTTTTTTTTACATTTTTAAACATTTAATACTTGTTTCTCACAATCTGTGCTAATTAAAAACATGATCGGTACATAATAAACTCGTTACAAGTGACATGTGAAACTTATAATTTAATTCTTTAAATCTCGTGATCTGACATCCGATAATCCGGTTGAATGTGTAATATGATCGGGATCTTCAAACATGTAGGCTGGTCTACTGGACTTGGAGCTGTAAATTAATTTATCTTTACTTTTTTTTTAAGAATAGTAATAACAAACATTGATTTCGCCCCTCACCCCATCGAAAAATGCAGCAGCATATTTTTGAAGAGGAACGCCTTTTAAGGCAATCAGTCTTTGTAAGTAAAGTGCTCAATATCATGAGATAGAGCATTAATAGTAAACAAATAAAATAGTAAAATAATATATAAAAAGAAATTATTTTATATAATGATATAAACTTAAATTGCACTAACAGCCAACCCAAAAGTGATCTTAAATATTATAATATAAACGTAACGAAAATCTGAATATTTAAAGGAGTCAATTATAGCTAATATCAAATAAATTATAAATTTAAGTTTTATTTCTTTAAACGCCCACTCCTATTTACTTTAATGATATAAAGTATACACAACAATTTCAATTTAGACGACTTCATGCAATATCGTATATAAGTTCAAGGTTAAAATATTAAATATGGTCTGATCAAGATATGCCTGAACATTTTGTTTTTTTGTTTTTTAATTCCGCACCAATTTCTTTTTGCAGATAAGGATGAATGCGTTGATGAAGTGTGCCACAATGGAGAGTGCAAGAACACTCTTGGAAGTTTCATCTGCATTTGCGAAGATGGTTTTGTCTTGTCCAAAGATGGAAGAGCGTGTACAGGTAAGAAATTCCGTTCATGCTCTTCACAGTATCTTTTTTTAAATCTATTTCTGTAAATAGATGAAGTTTAAGTAAATACATTATGAAACGACAATGAAATCGTGCATGGCTGATCATATATGTAGAGTAAAGAGTAGTCATCAATCCGCGTAGAATGAATAAAAAGAGTAGAACACTGGAGTCAAACATCTAAAAGAATCAGCACATATGCTAGGCTATGAGGACCTCCTTAGTGGGTCTAGCGTAGAAATAAATACGATATTGGAGCAAAGGCTTCGAAAGCAGCAATTACAGTAAAAATGAGAAGACTCAATGAGTACAGTTAAGCGTGGCAAGGAGCAGAAAACTCATCAGCAGTCAGATTAGGTTTCCGGTTCATTTATCCACTTGGATTAAAACTTACGAGAGATCGGAAAGTCTTGTACAACATGAAAGTGAAAGTTGTGTTCATGAGTTGCTCTCTTAGAACATCATCGGAGAAACTTAAAAAGTAGTTACAAAAATGAGAAATACGAACAATTCCATTGAAAACAGCTCGAATGCTGGATAATTGCGGAGACTTACAATTACTCAAGCCAATTGCTTGAATGAATGAATAATAGTAATAATGTTTGTAATGCTTTTATTTGAATAGAATCCTTCTGAAGTGTTCTTTTCTCTAGACACTCGGCTGTATATCTGTTAAAATTGTAGACTATCTGGCATCTAGTTCGTCTCAACGGGGAATACGTGACTCACTTTAGGGTTTTTTAACGGATTGAGGAATTTGCAATATTTCCAGTATGGATTTCATTAAGTTTTGGCAACTGTAAATGATCCTTGTTTCGACTAAAACCTTTTTTTTTATTTATTTTGCAGATATGAATGAATGTGAGAAAGACAACATGTGCCCCAATGGCGTTTGTGTAAATATGAATGGTTCTTACAAATGCAAATGTAACCCGGGCTACCAGCAATCACCGAACCAGCAAATCTGTTATGGTCAGTCTCATTTAAACGAAACTTTTGCTATTGTATTCAAGAGATAGAATTTATAAACGTAATACACACACACACACAAAACATTGTGTTTTAGTATATCTTAACATTTTATTTTGGGTATTTTTATAAAGTCTCAAGCTTTTCTCAAAAGAATTTCATTAATTTTGAAAAAAAATTAGACTGTAATGTTATGTAATAACCAAAAGAATTGGTCGAGTCATATACGACATAAAAGGAGAGAAATTCCCTTGTAAAAGACATTGGAATCAGTTAAAACCCAGACCGACTACAGAGGTCGCGGAAAATACCGAAGAGATTTCAATGGAAGTCTTATATGACGCCTTTGATATTCCCGTGCCTGTGAGTCAACATTCACCGATAGAGATATCCCCGGCCTCAAACCCATGGGTACCAGTGTGAAACGCCACCACTGCAAGGAGGATTGAGGCGAAAAAGGCTTAGAAAAAAAGGTTAATCGTTTATGTCCAGACCCTAAAAAGAGGAAGTATTAAAGCTAAAACTCACGGGAGAATTTAGCTCAGGGGGAGGGGATATAATGGAATATGCGTACACCTGTGTTCCCCCTCACTGGAATATGATTGGTTGGTGTCTGTCATAAATACCGACGGACGTGTAGGTACGACAAAGAGCCTTAGTCTGAGAGCTAAGTCTATAACGACGCCCATTGGACTACGCCATTGATCTACACTTCTTATCTGCGACTACGACGCGGACCAGTCGATTACTGCTACCGTATTCTACTTGGTTATAGTAGCCAAAACTGCTTGGCTACTTCATTCAAATATATCCCTTTCCGGGACATATCATGTTAATATTTACTTTTACCACAGACACCATAAACCTATTTGATAACAGGGAAGGGTGTAACTTCCGCCAATAATAAATATTGTCGATTTACGTGATAAATATCAGCTTCAGTCCTATGACTGAGTGTGGTCGTAGTGTCGCTGCACAATTGAGTACCTTACCAGTTCTTTCTATATGCTTCCGCTGCGTGCCTGTGTCTGTATCTGAGACTCTTTGAATGATATTTCAGTCAACTCATTGATGTTTTAACTGTTTTCCGCCTTTTTTGCCTAAAATGGAAGCCAGTAAGATGTCATTGGAAAGATTGTTGGCTTTTCTGACATGTGCATGGCATTTCAATATTCGTGGATATGAGATCTTCCAATGAGCCTGTTTGTTGTCAGGTAGTGACTTTTTGTAGGAGATGCCTAGGGGTGATTCATTTCTAACGCTTGGATTCTTTACTGTAATTCTGGTGTCAAAGACTCGCAAGAAGATTCAAAAAGCCCATGTACTCAACAGTCTGATCATTGATTGCAGATGTTCTTGTCTTTCCGAATGGTTCTTAGTTTTGCAATAGCTGCAGTTGTTTATGCTGCTCTTAAATTTATTTCTAATCTGATGCACCATTCACTGAGAATCTAGACAAAATATTTATATTGGCTCAATGCTTTAAGTCCCTGACCACCAAATTTCTTGACAGATTTTTCTCATTGTTCTTCATGTATTTTTTATTTAATTTATTTTTTTATTGTTTAGTTTATTTTTTTATTGTTTAGTTTATTTTTTTATTGTTTAGTTTATTTTTTTACTGTTTAGTTTATTTTTTTTTTACTGTTTAGTTTATTTTTTTACTGTTTAGTTTACTTTTTTATTGTTTAGTTTTTGTTTATTTTTGTTGTTGTTGCCCTAATCTCCATGCAATATCTAGAGGATGTTTTATCTAGGTTCTTCATCAGACTGACGAGTTTCTTTTCTTTGCAAGCTAGACCATCTATTTCGTTTGTAAAGTGAAGGGTTGTGATGTTGCAACCATCGATGCAGACTGGGCCCTAGTGTTCCATAAGGACACCATTTATAATGTGTTAACTCAACTGTAAATTAAATTCAATAAACGTTTTTATCAAGGTCTAAAGACTCAGACTTTGATGGCTTTAAGATTCAAATGATTTTGTATTTTCAAGATAGTTTTATTAATAAAAAAATTATCACACTCTGACTTCATTTGCTATACAAAAGATTTATCCTGCCACTGAAGATGACTCTGATCCCTAGACAGTAGTGTTTGAATTTCACAATTGTGTTATCATACCCTGCTATGGCAACAAAAAACAATTTTGAGCAAAATTAACAAGGATACTGCAAATGAGAGGTCTTGAAAAAGGATGCGGTGGAAAGTGAAATATTAATCATGCAGCGTGCTAAATGTTAAGGAAAAGGGCGATTCTTTTGTTTTTAGTCTCTTTGAAATATGTATTCTAACATGGTTTTATTTTAATGAGAAGTTTTGAAAACAAACCTTTTAATATTTGTACCAACTGCAAATAAGTGAAATCACAATTGTCAAAATACACACACACAGTGGGACAATTGGATATGCGCTTTAATTTTTTAAACGTTTCATTACATTTACATTTATTTGTTACAATCACATATGTTCAGAACTGTTTCTGTACATTTATGTAACACTTTACTAACATTTTTAAGCCCAGTTTAATCTCTTAAATGTCCTTCTTAAACATTGCAACATTTTTCGAACCTTTCCAGAACACTGATACACATAACGACACATCTCGATCTGCATCAATTTCAGTAAATACTACTGAGATGTACTCTATTAATTCGTCGACTGTGTGGAGATTTCTCTCATAAACCTTCTTTACTACACCCCAAAAACGGAAATTGGCCATTCAATGCTGCCACTTCTTCCAAATTATGGTTGTGTAAAGGTTTGGTTAAGGTAGACCCTTACAGCCAATGAATAATGGGGGAGGTGCTTCTTCTTGCTGAAAGAATATTTCGACGAAGTTAGATCTAAAATGTGAAGCAAATAGTGAAACAACTTTTTTTTTACTTATATACTTATGGCTGTATATATATATATATATATATATATATATATATATATATGGATGTAGAGACATCCTTAAATTTACAAAGAAATGTGCTATAAAACCTTTTTGTAGGTTTTAGATCACCATAAGATACAGCTCAAAGTTTCTGCATGCGTATCCGCTCAAAACATTTTAATATCAAATATATGTAAGATTCATTGTGTATAAATATTACATAAAACAGATATATCAAATAAATGCGTTATTACAATCTACAAGTGTGCGTTATATGTTGCTCAACGTAGCTGTTATTAATTGGCGTAAACAACTACTTTGCATATTCAACTTTAAAAATCAAATTCCTTAAAATTAATCTTTTTAATTCATTTTCAAATCGGTCTTTTGAGACCTTCATAAATATGCGATAGTTTAGTTTGTTTATATATATATATATGCGATAGTTTAGTTTGTTTATATATATATATGCGATAGTTTAGTTTGTTTTTATATATATATATATATATATATATATATATATATATAAATAAATTTTCTGTTTTGGAATTGGTGACCATGTTGGCATCTAAATAACAGGTTGGGAGTAAAGGGAAATAAGCAGTGTTGACATGTTTACATTTTGGAAATCTAAATTTTCATATCTAATTTTTAAAGTATTTTTTCAGGAAAATATAGTTTATCGATTTTTCTTTATTTATCCCCAAACTTGTAAAAACAGGAAAAAAATATCGTTAAAAATGAATGAAACGCTTTTTTCAACATAACAAAAATTTTGTATACTTTCGTGCCATGCAATGTCGGACCTAACTTCTCCATCCTTTCCATTCGAAAAAAATTATACTATGATGGCGAAAGTAATTGAATTTTTTCTTAATTTTCAACATTTCCTCTTTCAGAATCTGGCAGAAGTCTAACGAATTCTAATTTTGTTTTTTGTTGTTGTTGTTAATTCTCGTCTATAACAGAAATGAAATTAGTTTGTTGAGTGCTAACAATTTATTATTGCAGATATAAATGAATGTACTAATAATGGTAAGTTGTGTCTGAATGGTCAGTGCCACAATAGCCCAGGAAGTTATTATTGCCAGTGCAACAAAGGCTACAGTTTGTCACCAGATGGCGCTTTCTGTCTTGGTAAGCTACGTTTTATCAATAAACTTGTTTGAATTTTTGTATTTCCTCGACCTTCTATTAACACGCGTTGGCTTTATTGTCAAACGTTTGCTTTTTATCTACTGACCTGTTCGTCTTTTATATGCCAAATACTTTCAAGACGTCCGACAAAATGTCTCTCCACAACTTCCTATCTTTTGTGATCACTTCATAAAATGGTCTTTACTATGTTCTGTTCTCCCTATTCATACAATTACATAGATTCCTCGTTTCTTTTATGTTCTGTATCTCTTATGAATGTTAAATTCTATGGTCCACTTTTCCAGGAATTTCAGTTATTTTTTCTGATTAAGTTATATGATAAAAATAGTTTCCAGATATGCTATATTTAGGGTTAAAGCGGTCAACATCAGGGATAGTGTGTGTAAATATAAAACTGGGCATTTAAGTCAACACCCGGCAGTGACAGTTTGTGTCGTGTATTTCACAAAGATAAATGTACATATTTACAAACCTTGCTTTACTCGAGACAAGGTCAGGCTATTATGGCTCTGGTGTGCAAGAATTTATTAATCTTTACTATGGAGATGTTATATTAGTATATGGAGTTGACGCAACTGTTATCAATACGGAATATAAAAACAGCAAAAAGAGTTCAAATTCCGACTGAGGTTGTTGTGTTCATTGCGCAACAATGGTCTCGCGAAAGGCTTGAATCCAACTCATATCTTCTCAGCAGCTAAAACATAATGTAGTGGACTGGGCTCTTTAGCCGTTGTAGGGCAACCAATTTTTAGAGCAACTTTAAATTCAAAATCATGAAGAAGGCTAACGAGGAAAAAAACTTCACTTTCTCAAAATAAGTTATGGTGACTTTAATTTAAAGACATTAAAAAACTGGTGATCCACAAGTGCCAGAGCCTAAAGCGACATTAAAAGAAAATGTATGGCTCAAATGACATGCGCACCACGAACTTTTTCCTTACATGTCTTTTTGTCTCAAATTTAGTGAATATTTATCGAAATACATTAACTTAGGTTAGCTTTATCAAAAGGCTGCAGTAATGCGTTGTCCTGCAAATGTCATAGTACAAATTGTTAAAAAAAAAACAAAAAAAACGCTCCATGATAGGCACCTTTTTGGGGGGGGAAATATATATATATATATATATAAATATATATATATTAAACGTAATTTTTAGTGGATAGCCACGTTTGAAATACACCCTGTTTACTAATTTAGATAGCTCGTATTACGTATATCGGCCTGCCTTACCCTTTGTAGGAGAAACCACCGACTACGCTACAGAACATCAGTCTAGCAAGGTTCTATTTATCGTTTTAAGGACTTCAACCTTCCTTCTTCAGTTGTTCTAGAAGGCCCATATCGGCTGTTTTGTATCCGAAACAAAGAAATTTCCAAAGAAATTAATGGATGTATTCGTACATAAACAATTTTTTTTAATTTATTGTAGTTCCAAGAAATTAATAAACATACTTTTTATATAATTAACTGTACACATAAGCATAACTAAATATGCAGGGAAAACGAAAAAATTTATTCAACAGAAATAAATCCATTTCAATTGGTGAAAAAGTATTCGTACAATAAAAGAAAGAATACTTAATCTTCATTTAATACTTTATAGTATAGACTTTATTCACTTCTACAGCAATCAACTTCTTCTTGCAGTTCTCAATGATTTGTAAATTTTAGTTGGTATTTTGTTCCATTATTCTTCGAATAGAGTCTTTAGATCCGGCATGTTTCAATAGCAGTAAAGTTTTCCCACGGGAGCCTGAATTTAGATTGTTCTTATGAATTCCTTTGCTTATTGCCTATTTAGTGACACAGATTCTTGATGAAAGCAAATCATCCTACAACTTTTGACGAGTAACCATTGGATTTTGTTTAATCTGGCACATTAATTTCCTCGAAGACCATGAAGAAATCTTCGGGAAGCACCTGTTCTTCTTTGGTTTTCAACAATTTTGATTTTTTTTATACCTTGCAATAAATGAACTAATGGAATATTCGGGTTGTATGAGATTGTCCTGTAACTTTTACCTTCTTTCCAGAGCTTGACAATCAGCTCTTTTTGCAAATTTGTCAATTATTTACCTCTTGCCATAATGATAACCTTCTTGTACGAATATCAATTAGAGAATGTTGTTTGTAGTTTTAGGCCAAGAATAACACCTGATAACATTATTGAAACATTATAGAATATTCCACTTGAATAATTTAAAGTATTAAAACAATTTAAAAGTTTTGAAATATGAAATTTGCGTTGGATACTTTTTCATCTATTAAAATGAATAAATGGGATTTATTTCTATTAAATAAGTTTTTCTATTTTTTTATACATATTTAGTTATTATGCATCTGTGAATAGTTAATTATATGAAAAGTATGTTCATTCATTAGTAGGAAATACAATAAACTAAAAAATTTTTTTATATCTGCGGATATTTATTCCCCCCCCACTGTATGTGATTATATAAAATCTTCAAAAATTTATGCCATCGTCTAGATTTAGTAATTCGTAAGTTTTATACTGTCTTTTGTTTAATTAACTCCTACCAACCTGCAACTATTTAACCCATTACCGCATGACATGCACTGTTTTAGAGGGGGGGGAGGTACCTAAACGTTTTTTTTTAAAAAAAGTGTTGCCACCAGTTTTTGGAAAAATTAACCAGCTAAACATTTTTTTTTTAAAGAATAGTTTTTAGACGTTTTTTTAGGTATTACCAGCTAAACGTTTTTTTTTTTAAAGAATAGTGTTTTGGTTTTTGGAAAAAAGAGCTAAACGTTTTTTTTAAAGAATAGAAAGGTTTTGAAATCCAGTAATGGATCAACGTTTTTTTTTTCTTACTAAAAATATATGATCAAACGTTTTTTTTTAAAGAATAGTGTTGCCGGCTATAGGTTTTAAAGTACCAGCTATGGGTTTTAGCTAAACGTTTTTTTTTAAAGAATAGTGTTGCCGGCTATAGGTTTTTTTACCGTAAACGTTTTTTTTAAAGAATAGTGTTGCCGGCTAGTTTTGGAAAAATAATATTACCAATAAACGTTTTTTTTTTTTTAAAGAATAGTGTTCCGGCTATAGGTTTTTGAAAAATAATATTCCTAGGTTTGAACGTATTTTTTTTTAAAGAATAGTGTTTATAGGTTTTTTAAGACGATAAACGTTTTTTTTTAAAGAATAGTGTCCAATTGCTAAACGGCCGGCTATAGGTTTTGGATCAGCTAAACGTTTTTTTTTAAAGGTTTTGCCGGCTATAGGTTTTGGAAAAATAATAACCACATATTACCAGCTAAACGTTTTTTTTAAAGAATTGTTTGCTATAGGTTTTTGGAAAAAATAATATTACCAGCTAAACGGTCTATAGGTTTTGGAAAAAATAGTACTAAACCGTTTTTGGTAGCACCTAAACGTTTTTTTTTAAAAAGAATAGGTTCCTATATTTCGGAAAAATAATTAACCCTAAACGTTTTTTTAAAGAAACCCTATAGGTTTTTGGAAAAATAATATTACCAGCTAAACGTTTTTTTTTTAAAGAATAGTGTTGCCGGCTATAGGTTTTTGGAAAAATAATATTACCAGCTAAACGTTTTTTTTAAAACATCCGGCTATAGGTTTTGGAAAATCTTACCAGCTAAACGGAAAAATAGGACGAGCTAAACGTTTTTTTTAAAGAATAGTATTTCCAACCAGCTAAACGTTTTTTTTTAAAGAATAGTGATAATATTTTTGAAAAAAAATAATATTACCAGCTTACCAGCTAAACGTTTTTTTAAAGAATAGTGTTGCCGGCTATAGGTTTTTGGAAAAATAATATTACCAGCTAAACGTTTTTTTTTTAAAGAATAGTGTTGCCGGCTATAGGTTTTTGGAAAAATAATATTACCAGCTAAACGTTTTTTTTTTAAAGAATAGTGTTGCCGGCTATAGGTTTTTGGAAAAATAATATTACCAGCTAAACGTTTTTTTTTTACCAGTTATAGGTTTTTTGAAAAATAATAGTATTACCAGCTAAACGTTTTTTTTAAAGAAGGTTTTTTAAAGTTTTTTTTAAAGAATAGTGTTGCTGGCTTTTTTGGAAAAAAGTATTAATAAACGTTTTTTTTGTTGCGGCTATGGTTTTGGAAAAATAATATTACCAGCTAAACGTTTTTTTTTTAAAGAATAGTGTTGCCGGCTATAGGTTTTTGGAAAAATAATATTACCAGCTAAACGTTTTTTTTTTTTTTGGAAAAAAATATTACCAGCTAAACGTTTTTTTTAAAGAATAGTGTTGCCGGCGGCTATAGGTTTTTGGAAAAATAATATTACCAGCTAAACGTGTTTGCCGGCTATAGGTTTTTTTTTTAAACGTTTTTTTTTAAAGAATAGTGTTGCCGGCTATAGGTTTTGGGCTAAACGTTTTTTTTTAAAAATAGTATTACCAGCTATACGTTTTTTTTTTAAAAGAATAGTGTTGCCGGCTATAGGTTTTGGAAAAAAAAATTTTTTTTAAAAGAAAAAGGTTTTGGAAAAATAATATTACCAATAAACGTTTTTTTTTTAGTGTTGCTGGCTATAGGTTTTTGGAAAAATAAATATTACCAGCTAAACGTTTTTTTTTAAAGGGCCGGATGTTTTTGGAAAATAATATTACCAGGCTATACGTTTTTGAGGAAAAAAATACGTTAGGTTTTTGGAAAAACAGAAATCGATTTTTTTTTGAAAAAAAAACAAAAATATTACCAGGAAAAAAATTGTCAGCATTAAATGACCCATTGAGGTTGATATGCCGTTAAACAAACCAAACTTTTTCGTTTACTGAGTTAGCGTGGTGTTTTTCATAATTTGTCTAAAAAAAAATATTTAGAAATTACAAAAAAAAAGTTAAAACTATTAAAAGACGTATACTCAAAGAACTGAGCAACTATATATATATATATATATATATATATATAGTGTGTGTTTATGTATGTGATAGCTGTCAGCTTGTATGTTCATCGTGACATGATATCGAGCAATGCCCGTGCATAACAAATTTAAGTGGTGCAAGTGGTCAATCCTGCTAAGAACATCATGTATCCCGCTAACCACAAAAGAACCAGCCGACACAATAAAATACTGTCAAGCCGTAGGATCTTACATCAGAGTTAGTTAAGGAATTCAACACTCTAAGTAGACTTAAGGTTCACATGGACGCTAACTTTGGAATTTTTACATCCCCCCACGTCTGTGCTAGATTCGTCCACCCTTTTACACATCTTGTTTTTTAATCGTACTAGGTGTCTAGCTATTTACCTCACCAGAAAAAGCCCGGTGGGGAAGCCCATGTTTTACATATCATTCTGTGAGTGTTATTGGTGCTGTGTAACCCCAGTACTACCTGCGGCATGACTGGGTTATCGGTGGCAAAACTTGTTCCCCCTATTTGAGGTGATGTAATGTAAGAGGGGTCAAATATAGATCGGAATCTGATAGGATAAGGACAAAATAGGAAATCTAACTTTTACTTTTATTAAAGCTTCATCTAGGAATGAGATTTGAGGAAATGAAAGAGGAATGATAAAAAAAATTAAAAATACCAAATATTTTCTTTCTATTTCTCCATATTATCTGATGAAGCTTTAATAAAAGCGAAATATGTTGGATCTATAAACTTTTACTGTATTCCCTATGAGTTTTTGGAAAAATAATATATATATATATATATATATATATACGTACGTTTGATTTTTTTTTATATATATATATATACACGTACGTTTGATTTTTTTTTTTTATATATATATATATATATATATATATATATATATATATATATATATATACACACGTTTGAGGTGTATTATCAATTAATTCGCCCACTCCACTGCAAAATACTGCAACCACAGCTTCTTAATGAAGGCCGTCTGAGATCAGTACATTATGATTTTTTTCTTTGCCGGTTGCGCTGGGTAATTTTCAAAAGTAAACTGAATGACCCCAACAAATTCTGCTGACTGCTGGGAAGGCAACTGGCAGCTGTGCGAATGTTACCAACGATAAAAACGTTACCGGTTACAGCTGTATCGAGCATATTGCGTTCTCAAATACTTCGGCTTCAAGAAGGTTGTATTGCAGTAATATTTAACATCGTTTTGGTTATAATTATCCAAAGATGGCTCGTGTACAACTATTTCTATTTTATCAGGCGTTTGGATCACTTGAAATAATATGAAAGGCTATCAAAAATTAATCAGCAATATTTATTCTCAGTCATTGTTGAAATAAAAAGAAAGAAAATAAACGTAATTACTAGAAATTGCTATCAACATGCTGGACAGTGAATGAAAGGCTCTGTATTCTATGTATCTGACAAAGAGAGACCACAAAGACATACCTAAATCTTTTGCACAATTCACTGCAATTAGTTTCACATTGTTCCTACTCTGACAGGTATTGCGCATGTGTATTGGGTTTATAATTATTTGTCATGTCAATCTCATCACTAGCACAACAAGATGGTTG